CAAAATGTGCTTCGCGATCGCGAAGAGTAAAATGAACCTAGGGAAAAGTTGTTCTACGCGATCACGAACGAATTTCCGCGATCGCGATAAATAAAAATCTGAATAACAGAACTTAAGTTCTCGAAATGGGATTTCGACCCATTTTCAACCATTTCCAATTTTTGAGCTCGGGTAAGGCGATTCTTGGGCGATTTTTACGGTAAAACATTGGGGTAAATGTTCCTTATCCTATATTGATTATATTTCATGATTCCATACTCATTTACATCATGAATTCGTGAATTTATGGAAGAAAAATCAGATTTTTATTAAATCTTCCAAAAATAAAAATTTAAGATTTGAAAGTCCATTTGACATCGAAATTGGATAATTTTTGTATGGTTGGACTCGTCTCGGAATGGGTGTTCCGATTTCGTAACTTTTTCCGAGATTTGAGACGTGGGTTCCACTGTCGAATATTTTAATAAATTTTGGATTTTTATCCGAAAAATTATAAATTCATATGGAATTAATTCCTATGATTCATATTGAGTATATTGAATTGTTTATGAATAGATTTGAAGCTTTTGGAGACAAATTTAAAAGGAAAAGTTATGGTCGAGTAATTGATTGGAATTTGCAAAGCGAGGTAAGTGTTGTGGTTAACCTTGACTTGAGGGAGAACCCTTAAACTATTTGTTATGTGAAATGCATGTGACCGATGTATAGGCGAAGTGACGAGTGTCTATACGTCATCAAATTAATTGTTTGCATAATTATTTAAAAATCATAAATTATTCTAAGGCACGAATTAATTATTTTAATAATTATTTCTTTCCTATTCTTTGACAAATATTAATTCTTGAATTTCTGCAATAATTGTTACATACTATTTGATTTATGTGTATTAATTGCTACTTGACATTTAGCATATTAAATATTAAACTGCCTATTTTTTCCCTGATTTCCTTAATAAATTGCTATTTGTCATTGTTTGTTTCATAATTAAATCATAATTATTGTATGCTTGTTGTCTTAAAATTTTGTATTAATTATTGTATTTATTGGGGCAATTTATTCTATAAGAATTGGTAAATAGATATATTGGGGGATCGGATTGCACGCCGCAATAGAATTATTTAAAAGTCAATATTGGGGGATCAGATTGCACGCCACAACCGACTTATTTAAAAGTCTATACATACTTGATTAAAATAAATATATGAGAGGATTGAAAATGAATATATTGTGGGAGTGGTTTGTACGCTGCAACAAAAATTGGTTGAAATAATAATGGGTTATGACTGCTGAGTTGGCTTCAATTATTATAAATGAGTTAACCGATTTATTTCTATTATTATTTGTTGTTGTTATTAATATTGCGTACAGATTAATGTAAGTGACTCGCCTTAGCCTCGTCACTACTTCATCGAGGTTAGGCTCAGCATTTACCAGTACATGGGGTCGGTTGTATTGATACTACATTCTGCACTTCTTGTGCAGATTTCGGAGTTGGTCTTAGTGACGTACCATAGACTTGCTCGGATTTCAACTACCCAGAGGAGACTTGAGGTATAACTGCACGGCGTCCGCAATTCTGAAGTCTCCATCTACTTTACTTTAGCTGTGTGTTTATTTTCAGATAGCTTTATTTTATTCAGACCTTTATTTGTATTATTCTAGAAGCTCGTGCACTTGTGACACCAATTCTGGGATGGTATTTAGACACCGTTATTTGTATGGGTTATTCACTACATTTCAGACTTTACTTCCGAATTTGTTTCTTTGTTATTAACAAATTTAAAAATTATTTTTAAAATGGATAATATTATTCTAACGTTGGCTTGCCTAGCAAGTGAAATGTTAGGCGCCATCATAGATCGAAGGTAAGAATTTTGGGTCTTGCAAATCTAAGCATCAACACATGATAATTAAGCTTATATAATCTTAAATGAATCTATTAGGATCATATGGGGTTTAAGTATACATAAAATCATCAAAGGAACGGAACAAACGAAAATTCGGACGGCATAGGCCAAATGGGCAATTCACCCTTTTTGTTTTTGTTGTGTTTTGAAGTTTCAACCTAAACTAATTTCTCCCATAATTCACATATGGAATTGAATACTATACAAGGATACCATACATGCTTAAATTTCCCTTGAACAAACCTTAAAATATCAAGAGGAAAGGCTAGAACATAGCCAAACCAAATCATGCCAAAAACGAAATGAAAACCCTATATACCTCTTGTGTTCTCGCTTCCAAACCTTGTTTCCTTTGCTCCACACCCTTACCTATGCTTGTATAACTAAAATATAGAGGTGAAAATCTTCCTTATCCATAAATCTCTTTCGAAAACAGGAGGTATAAGGAGAAAGGGGGATGACAAAGTCTTACCTATGTCCTAAGGATCGCGTTGATGTGTTCGCGTCTTGATTTTAAGTTGCGGGTGATGGAATTGCTTTAAAACCCTAAGGATGTATTTAGAATGTCTAGAGAGACTTTTAGGTCTAATTTGGGTTGAAATGAGCCTTAGAGACAAAGGCTACAACTTTATATATCAAGATAAACTTCAACCGACCTTGTGGGTCCCATAGGGAGCTGCTTGTGAAGTGTCGCAAAAGCGCAAATATCTCTCCACTCCGATATCGTATCGACAAATGGTTTAATACGTTGGAAACTATACTCGTAGATCTATAATTTGGTAGGTGATTAACCCCGTAATTCCAAATATATTGAGAGAAAATCTCAGTAACATTAGACCTAAATTTAAGTAAAATTATGAACGTAACTTGCGATAACTTTTGTCGACTTTTGTTTCCTAACTGGGTTGACTTCAAAACTTAACTCACGAGTATAATATGATTAAAATACCTTATAATATCACCTACTTATCATGTTAATCACTCTAGTATCACCTCAAAAGTACGGGTTATAACATTCCCAACTTGCCGTTTCGACGAAACTTATTTTTTTCGATTTGTTTAGCTTCTAAACCTTCCAACCCTCTTGGTACTTGCAGTTCATGATCTTAAATATTTGTAACCTCCAAAGTAACATACTTAACTTACTTAATGTACTTTCAAAGATGATCTAATTTTCGAGCATACATCAACTGACTTACGACGTACTTTTACGTACAAAAACATGAGGTATAACAACCTCAACCAAATTTTTAGTGAAAATTAATGGGAAGGATATGGTTATTTTGAAGGTAAAAGAGGCCTTAGACTGGGGACCCAATATCTCCATTACTGTTTGTTCTTGTCATGGAGTACCTATCAAGGACACTAAAGAAGATGAGTGAACTTCCAGACTTTAAGTACCACTCTATGTGCAATGCCCTAAAACTCACTCATTTAACATTTGCAAGGAGACACTAGATCAATAGCAAGGGTAATGGAAATGCTAGAGCACTTTAGCAGGGTCAATGAGTTAGTAATCAATGTGGATGAATCCAATATTTTGTATACTACAAGAGATTACCAAAGTTGTCGCTGACCAGAAGAATCTTACTAATGCTGTTAATGGTGTTAGCTGAACCACTTCAACACTTTGGAACCATTTAGGAGCATGGATTCCAAGCACACCATGATTGTCCACTTACACGCGTTTTTTAAGATTTATTTGAAGTGTAAAGACAAGCAACAACATTTTTGATTGGATTGATTTGATGTTGCAAGCATAATTCTATGATCATTCTTTGTGTGATACTTTTTGCATATTTGAAAATTTCAAGTGCCCAATACAAGAGCTTGCCAAACATAATATTTTACTTTATCGAGGAAATGGAATTTTGTTAAGAGAGTAGAAACGGAGAGATTCGTATACCAGGCCTTGAAAATTGAGCAGGATCATTTACTTAAGCTAGTAAAACATAAGAACATTCCCCACACTTGTGCATCTTTGATGCAATTAGCATATCACATTACAAAATTTTATTGCCATTAATCTTTAATTACTAGGAAACATCTCTTCATCGCGTATAAAATTAATTGGTTATTGACACAAAATTGCAGAAGCCAAGGGAGCCGAATATACCTATATCCATCAGCACAGTACTTTCTGTTAATATATTTTTCGCTTCAGTTTTTTTTACTATTTTGTTATTGTTACTGTTTGTTGTTACTATTTTTTTTAATTTTTTTTTTAGCCAAGAGTCTATCGAAATCAATTTCTACACCTTCTCAAAGTAGAAATAAAGCCTGCATACACACTACCCTCAAATTAATTATACTAGATTTATTATTGTTATTCCTCTTTATAAAAAGATTAGTGCGAGTTCTCATTTTCCACAGGTAGATGATTGAGAGAGAGAGAGTTAAAAGGAAAAAAATCAAACACTTTTTAAGTATTAACAATTTATTTGTAAAGGGAAAATTTTTGGTTGCAACCGCAGCAAAAATAGGAGTACCAAACAAATGTGTATTGAGTCAAGTTCGGATGATCCAATAATTAAAGATTGAGGCAATAAATATGTTACAACTTGCCTACCATTTTCCGATATCAAAATAGGTTGGATTAATATTCCATCCAGTCCACTTTAATTGATTTTTTTGATTGTTTTCACACATATTAATAAATTCACTTCTTAACATAATTAATAATGAAATTGACCATATTAACCTTAATTTTTTTATTAAAAATATGATAAATACTCCCAGACTTTTTACTCTAAGGGCAACCTTGAAAAAAAAATTTAGTTCCATCTTGATATCTGAAAAAATTAAATATTGTGGACCATAAGAAAAATATCAAAAAATCAATTAAAATAAACCGAAGTAAGTATGGATTAAGTAACAAATGAGAACTAACGTATCACAATCCAACCCATCTAACTCAAAATTGAAACGAGATGGACATTTTGAACTTTTTCATAAGTCAAATAGATAAAAGTAATCTTATTAATGAACGTGGTTGCCAAACTTAGTAGACTTGCTAGTAGGTAATCCTTAATATATAATTAAAGAAAAGAGAAAAAAAAAATAACACAACGTTAGTAACAATAACGCCCTATATATATATATATTACCACAAGAGTACTTTTGACGAATAACAACAATTCACACAAAAACATTCCTCTTCACGCCCAGCCAAAAATATCAAATATTCCTACTGACTCGATTAATCTGACGATTTCTTGAACGTTCAAAATAACGGTGGAGGAGGTATAATTCCTGGTTGAGTGTAGCAAAAGTTCTTGAAATCAGGAGGAAAGAAAGGATTAAAAGGGAAAATCTTTGGCCAACAACTATCATCAATTTCCAAAGCTGCTTTGCAACATTGAGTACCAAGCAAATTAAGTTGAACAGTCAATAAAGAAGTTAATATTTCTTCAATACAACGAGGAATTGTTGTCACTGTTTCAAAACATTTTCTTATCTCTTCAGGATTTATTGGGAATAATCCTGGCAATAGCCCTGCATTAAATTCTTGAGCAAAAATAGGTGCAGTTAACATTTTTATGCATAAAATAGTTACTATAGTTGAATATATAACTCTAGGGCCAGTCATTTGTTAAATTGGAGAAGTATGAATTAAAGATTGTTGGCTAGGTTTTAAAGAGATTTTGTAGAGTGGGTTTGTAAATTTTGAGGGACAAATTGAAGTGGGAGTTAGTTTGGTATTTATATATGTGGATACAAGAGATATTGTTTTTGAAACTGTCGTCTCAGCAATTTCATTTAGCTTGTATAATGTAATTAATTAAGCATTTTATGACATACTTAAAGTACGGTATTGTATTTACTTAACAGTTTGGGCATTTTCACCATGTATCTTTAATGTGTTATACGTTTCTTTTGCTCAATTGTTCACCTAAACGTATATATTTATTCTGTTCCAAGTTAATTATGTATCTCTATTTAGTTTCAAGAGTCGAGTCAATTAATTTTTTTTTTAATATAGTGCAATAAAAAAGCTTGTATGCTGACCAAGAATATTGGGATGGACTAAGCACTATCGTGATTATTTAAAAGTTTTGATCAGACAAGTAAAATAAAGTCACATATTAGAGGTAAAACACTCTCTAATAAAGACGACTCCAGCCCAGCGCTCGAACCCTAGACCTCTAGCAAAGACGACTCTAGTCCAGCGCTCGAACCCTAGACCTCTGGTTAAGGATGAAGGAATACATATCTCTCTATCATAATCTTTATTGGTGACGTTGATCTTATTTGCAGTTTGTGTAGGACGTCTGACTAAAATTCATAAATGGGAATAATACTTTCTATGGATAAATATTCTTTTCTGTTATTCTATTTTTATAATTTCATTTATTCACTAATCCATTTTTGGACACTAAAAATATTTTTAATAGCTACTTCTATAATTATTTTAAATGTCTAATACTATAGTCTATACGTGTGTCCGCATTAGACAAGGTTGCCGTAATTGTTGAATTTTTTGAGTAAAGGAGTGAATATGAAACGAAGGGAAATGAAACTTTTGAACTGGTTTCTTTTACAAAGGAACTTTGTCCTTTATTGGACAGGAAGAAGACGATTGTTATGCTTACATGTAGAAGCACTTCTTCTAGTTCTTAAAAACTTGTGAAGAGAGCAAGCATCGCGTTTTCATCGTCGCTTAAGTCGACTTTGGATTTGAATTTGCCCAAATAACCTGATTGATTGAAAGAAATTAGTTTACACATTTAATTGCGTGGATGAAAGAATTAAAGCTCAAATCAGCTTGAAGTACTTTTATCGTGTAAAACTCCAAAAAACGTACTCATTTGATCAGTTGATAACTAGAATTGTATATTCGGGCTAAAAGATCATAAAATATAATAAGGACCGAGCTCTAAATCAATCTTTACTCAGCTAACACCTTAAATAAACGATAAAAAGAAGACAAATTTCACTCACGCTTATATATATTTTTAATTGATTTTCATTTAGATTGAAATGAAAAATGGAGCAATTATTGCTTTAGCAGATAAAAATATACTGATAGTGCAAAAGGTATTTAAACTGCTATCTCAGATAATGTGTGAACGTGTTTTACAAAGTTTTCGTAATCGTGCCAACTGATTATAAATATATTATCTCTCCATTCCAATTTATATTACGGTGTTCAAGATTTGGAAAATCGAACGAGTTGTTTTGACTGTAATTTTTAATATTTTTTTAAAATACTTTAAATTATTAGTTTTTATGACTTATAATACTATTTACGTAATTTTCATCAAGTATGTAACTTTATTTCGAAAATTTTAAAAATTTTATGTTTAGATATATCATTAAAATTTAAAAATTTAAATTTCGAAAAACGTAAAATATTTAAGTAAATTGGGACAAAGGGAGTATATAAATGTTGAACCCAAAATAGACTACTACCATATATTAAAGTCAGTTTTGTCTTCCTTTCAGTTGAAATCAAGCGATTCACTAAACGAAACCACAACATTAATTATTCTAGACTGGTAAAAAAAATGAAGGATTGTATATTTCAGTTCACGTTAATTGCTTTTCTGAAATTTTCTAACTTGTGACTCCTTTTTTCCTTACTACAGAATTTTGGCTCCTTGCTTGATCTATTACCTTACAGAGAGAGTAATTGCAAATTAATTGCATATAAAATAACAAATTAAGTATTACATAGGCTGCAAAAATTACAAATCCTTGATATGAAATTTACTTAAATAACATTACATAATTAATAACCCCATGGCAAAAATTACTGCATGACACCTTTCTTCGACAATTGTAGGGAATAACATATCCTATGATAAATCTGCTACGAAAAGCAGAAAATCAAAAAAGATAAACAACAAGTACTACTACGACTTCTAAAAATTCCAAGAGAGTTCGTACTGATTGTATGAATCATCACTGTCCATAACGCTCTATTTATACCCGACCATCTCAATCCAGTAATTGAAAAAAGAAAAAAAAAAGGAAAAAGAGAAGAGAACTCCAAGAAGACAAGAAATGAGAGACTATATATCTCAAACTCAATCTAATTCAAGGGGCCATATGGATCAACTACAAAAGGAGAAGGTGTAGAAAGGACTCCATTTCCATTGTTATTGTAGCACAAATCCTTAACAAATGGAGGAACAAAAAAGTTAAGTGGATCAAGACCATAAAAAGCACATTTATTTGTAACCTCATTGATAGCCTTGCAACAATCTTCACTAACAATATTTAGGCTTATTAAACCACCCCCTAAGTTTCCTCCAAGAATTTCAGAAATTTCATAACCACACACCATCATATCTTCCATTGCAGTCCAACACTGTTGTAGTGAGTAAAATTCAGTAACATCAGTAGATGAAGTATATTGGGAAAGCCCAGGTTGAATTAGTATCGAAAAAGACGATATCAGAACTAATAATAAGTATAAAAATGAAGATAATATTGAAGCCATTTTAGTGGTTTTCTTATGGGAAATCTTCTAAATTTGGATTCTTGAAAAATTACACTTGGAGAAAGAGAGAGGGTGGTAATATATATCTTAATATGAAGTTATGAATTGGCACTAGTAATATTCTCCTTAAATAGGTGTTAATAAACTTAGGTGTAATATCTAATAGATTCTATCAAATTGTAAATCATAAATTTGAAGTTCAACTACTATTGATCTACAAAATATGTTCATATGTAGGATATGCATGGATCATATGAAGTTATGAACTAAAGGACAAGCATAAATTGATTGCCAATTGTTTTACATGTCACATTTTTTATGCTGTGGAGTAATTACTCCTTCTGTTCACTTTTACTTGGCACGTTTTGACTTTTCACGCCCCTTAAGAAATATAAATGAAGTGCATAATTTACCACAATACCCATATTAATTGATGAATATTTTATTGGATTTGAGAAAATGATTTGAAATGAGTAATAAATACTGTGGGTATAACATTTTTTCTTCTCTTGATATGCGTAAAGTAACAAGTAAAAATAAAAATTTATTTTTAGTATACATGCCAAGTAAAAGTGAACGAAGGGAGTATTATTTTGTAAAGTGCCTACTACATATAGTGACAAAAGTTTCAGTTTAATTAAATTTTGAATGGACTTTGAAAATTAAAACTCGCCAAGTTGCTAATTATAGTTGTTCAAATATTGACTTGACCAGGGGACATCAAATGCTGACTTGGGAAGTTTCTAACTCATTTGTGTTGTTTACATAATTACATGAAATTTAACATAATTAAATGATACATTAATGTGAAGATATATTAATTAAGATTTTTTTCGGTCCACATTAAGTGATTTTTTTGCCTTTGGCACACCTTTTATGAAAATACTAACTCCCAAAAAAAACTTTTGATTAAATTATCCTTAATTAAAATTTGTATATTGTTAACTTGATACATTGTGATATGTAAATAAGGGCAAATTTAAAAACTAAATTTAATTCATTCTTGATTATGTATAAAAGGACACATATTTTGAACCAAAAATAAAAGGCCAAAATGTCACTTATTATGGATCGGAGGGAATACAATTAAGTTATAAAAGTATATTCTTTTTGTTGCCATTTAGTTATGAGGAACTCGTGATGAATGTTTACACGGTTTTAAAGAAAATCTTAATAATAAATATAATTTGACAAATTTACACTCACTAATTCTTTATCTTTGATCACATTAATTTATTTTCAATAAACAAGTAAACTTTTACGTGCCTTTTAGTTCTAGAACAACTAATGCTAAGGGTAGATTTATTTTTTAAAAACTTATTACTTCCTTATTGATTTTCTAAAATGGAAATTTTTAGTAAATATAACAACGAAATGAGAAAGTTGTTTCCATGTGACCTATATGTCACGGGTTCGAGTTGTGAAAGCAACCATTAATGTATGCAATAGTGTAGGCTAACTACATCACACCCCTTGAGATGCGACCCTTTTCCAGACCCTACACGAATGCAGGATACTTTGTGCATCGAGCGACCCTTTACAACAACTAAATGAGAAGCGAAGGAGTATAAAATAACATGTATTAAATATTTACGATTTGTATAAATAACGTATACGAATAATTTTTATCAATCTTAAATCCCATGCCCCTTCCCAACACACACAAATTTCATGTCATGACCCGGAATCCCACCCTCGTGATCGTGATGGTGCATAATATTTTACTTGCTAGGTAAACCAACTTTAGCTAGATTACTTGACCAATTTTAACAATTCAAAATAAAATATTAATAAAAATAAACCAAAATAGTCTAAAATGAAGTAATAAAATACTAATAACGATATCTAAACATATCCTAGAATCTAGTGTCACAAGTACATGAGAAACTAGAACGCTACATATATGGTCTGAAACAAAGTACAACTGTTTGAAACTAGATAAACAATAGAATAGATAAATAAAAGGACTTCAGGGCTGCGGACGCCGTGCAGCTATACCTCAAGGCTCAAATTGTTGTTGAATCCGAGCATATCACCAATAGACAACACTGGGATCAACACTAGTATCTGCACAAGAAGTGCAAAAGTGTAGCATAAGTACAACCGACCTAATATACTCCGTACGTGTCTAGNATATATATATATATATAGAGCAACAAAACAACAGATAGTGCAATTAAAATATTAACT